CTGGGGGGGGCTGAGGCCGGTCCCTCTGCCCGTGGGGTGACGGAGTGGGGCTGGGGGGCCGGTCCCCCTGCCCTGTGGGGTGACAGAATGGGGCTGGAAGGTCAGTGCCCCTGCCCGAGTGGGGCTGGGGGGCCGGCCCCCCTACCCAGGGGGGGGCCGGAGGGGGGTCAGCCCCCCTGCCCGTGGGGTGACAGAGTGGGGCTATGGGGTCAGTGCCCCTGCCTGAGTGGGGCTGAGGCCGGTCCCTCTGCCCGTGGGGTGACGGAGTGGGGCTGGGGGGCCGGTCCCCCTGCCCTGTGGGGTGACAGAATGGGGCTGGGAGGTCAGTGCCCCTGCCCGAGTGGGGCTGAGGGGCCGGTCCCCCTGCCCGTGGGGTGACAGAGTGGGGCTGGGGGGCCGGTCCCCCCTGCCCGAGTGGGGTGACAGAATGGGGCTAGGGTGTCAGTGCCCCTGCCCGTGGAGTGACAGCATGTCCCTGGGGGGTAGGTCTCTCTGCCCCATGGAGTGACAGCATGTCCCTGTGGGGCTGGGGGGGTCAGTCTTCCTGCCCCATGGGGTGACAGCGTGTCCCTGTGGGGTAGGGAAGGGGAGGCTGGCCCCTCCACCCCTTCGTGGGTGGGGAATGGAGGCTTGCCACTAGCCCCGTTGCCCCTGTGGGGTGACAGGGCGTCCCTAGGGGGCTGAAGGCAGCGCAGGAAAGGGCTGGCACCTCTGCCCTCCGTAGGGTGACAAGGTTTCCCGGTGGGGCTGTGGGTCAGGGTTAACTGCACTGCCCTACCTGGTAACAGGGTGTCCCCGTGGGTCTGAAGGCGGTGGGAGGAAAGGGTTAATCCCCCTGCCCTATAACTAACAGTAACAGTGCATCCAGGTGGGGCAGGGATCGCCCCCTCCGTATGTCCCGGTGGGGCTGGAGAGGGTGGTGAGGTGAGGGTTAACCCCTCTGCCCTCCCTCTTTGGAGGGAATAATGTGCCCTGTTGGAGCTGTGTGGTGTGGCCAGGAAGGGGTTAAACCCTCACCCCCCACACATGCACCCCGACGTGTGGGGCACCACTGTATCCCAGTGGGGCTGAACTGGGAGGTGAGAAAATGGGTAAAGGCAACCCCCCACGAGGTAACAGTAAAGGGGCTGGAGGGGCCAGCAAGGAAGGGGTTAACCCCTGTCCCCAGTCGAGGTGACAGTGTCCCCCAGGAGAGCTGGTCTCGGGGAGGAAGGGGTGAACCCGATTTCCCTGTGGGGCAGTCAGTGGGTCGAAGTGGGGCCGGAGGGGTGGCAGGGGTCACCCCAGGCAGGGGCCAGCAGTGGGGCACAGCGGGGCGGGGGGGGAAAGTGTGAACCCCTCCCTGTGCAGGTGACAGCTCCTCACTGAGCCCCTCAGTGGGTCACCCCTCAATGGGTCACTCCTCGGTGGGGCACCCCTCAATGGGGCACCCTTCGGTGGGGCACCACGTGTGGGAGCACGGGGCGGGGGGTGCTTGACCCCCTCCCCACGCCCGTGTGAGCTCCCCGGTGGGGCTGGAAAGGGGGAGTCCTGTATGGGGTGGCGCTGGGGGGGTGGGCTTGACCCTGTCCCCACGCAGGAGGCAGCACCC